CAGACATGTATTTTTTTAGAAATGTGCCAATGAAGTTTACCAATTTTCCATGGTAATCCTAGTCAGTTTAAACAAACCGAATTCTTTGTTTTTGATTATATTTTTGCTTTTTATTCAAGTACTTATCTACATTTAACCTGAAAAAAAAAAAAGATCCAAGCTTTTAATAGACTTTTGTTCCACTGACAGCTACATTGTTGTTGAACTGAAAGCTGTCAAATAATTCACATTGAACATTCTAATGCAGTCAAGTTCCTATTATTCCGCTGCATTTGTCTCACAGCTTGTTCATTTTCAAATTAACYTTTTAACATGGAAAATGTCTGCATGGTTTTTAAGACATGATGTTTTCCTAAATAATATATYAGGAAATGAAATGGAGCTGAAACGCCGATTTGTACGACGTGCACCTTCAGGGAAGACTGGTGTTTGTTCAAGATCTTGAGTTTAACGAAACACAACACGGATCAACAGCTATTTTCTGCCTTCCCAAATGTTTGTTTATGTATTTCAGTTATTTGCTTGACTTATTCCCCAACATATTTGCTGCTTTTTGTCCCCATGCCACTGTTCGTTGGTATTCTTTCAATCCAGTGTGTATTTGTGTCTCGTGTTCTGCTGCCTTTTCATCAGGAATCGTTTGCTGCATGCTTTGCTTGTTTTCTTTGTGCTAAAGCCAAGAGAATTTAGTGCAGCTTGTTCACATGTAAACATGTTTAAACCAATGGAGARTATTTTTTGTGGTTTTTAGCACCTTCAGCTTAGTTTTTTAATCATATATGCATTGTTCTAAGTACAGCGTTTATCGTAGACTTCAGTTTGTGAGAAGCTGTAAAATATTAGTCATGCTTTTATTAAAGTAAAGCTTCCAAAAACTGAAAAAACTAGATTAGGACTTCTGGTTTTTGATTTACTACACTTTCAAACACACTTTATCTGCTAACTTATCAGAGCAATATTTCTGTCAGCCACTTGACATTTGAAAGAAACAAGACCGCAGCAGAAATTCACTATAAGAAGTTTAAAATGCTCTTGTTTATTGGTGAGAAACAAAGTGACACATTCAATAAAATATTGCCTGATTACATATTAACGAGGTTTGATCAGCGAGGTGTGGCAGAGCTCCATTCAGATCCACTACTGGCTGACTGCAAGACAAAGATGAGCAAATTGAAGAGTTTGAAACTGAGAAATTTAATTACCTAATCAGCTAAGTAAGAAAAGTGGATAATCTCTGGAGAAATCAAAAAATAATCAGTCTTAGTAAGCAGACATGTATTTTTTAGAAATGTGCCGATGAAGTTTACCAATTGTCCATGGTGATCCTAGTC